TTCACGCGTCGAGTCGAGCACCATTTTAAAAGGCTTGTATACTTAGAGCTGGAGCAGTGAAAAAAAAAAGTTTAATGATCGAAGATAGAATTCTTGGTTGTTCAAACGTTAGTCGACGTATATATACTGGTCGTTGTAATCTCATAGACCGATTACTTTCCACAAAAATTTCGATTTATTCTCAATGAAACGCAGAAATAGATTCACCGTCCCACCCCAATCGACTCAAAAACGCGCGGACAAACTAATGTCCTCTTAAATATCTCGATGAAATATCCACAAATGACATTTTCCGTGATAACACTATTCATGTGCATCTCCATATATAAGAATTTGATATATGTACCAAACTTTTTTAGCATAAAATGCACATACGGTTCACAAATGCAATTCTGCGCGTGGGAAATGAAGTAAATATGTCAGATTGTGGACGGAGCCCACACTCTAGACATGACCACGGGCCAGCTCGGCCTGCCGTCTCAGACCAGGCCTAGTCCTTGACCGCAGGTTGTCGATTCCAAGAACCGACACCGTAGCTTTACGGGTCGTGTCCGAATCTTTTTTTTTTTTGTTCTGACGGTCTAGGACTTGGCCAGGACGGGTTCAGGACCGGACCAATTCTACAGGCCGACCCTTGATTTTTGCAGGCTAGTTAAGGGTCACCCATTAGTGGCCCGCCTGCCTGAGTCACGGCCCGTTGACTGGCCACCTTTACCACACTCGTTCGTAAGTGGCGGTCGCTGTCAGAATTTGGGACAACATTTTGGTGCAATGTGAATCAGAAAATTAATTATTTTTTCGGCTGAACATTCATAACGCGACACGTCAACTTTGTCTCCTTTTGAACACGTTGTCAAAGTTTGATGGTCAATCATTTTCTTACAAGTTTGGCTTTACCTGGGCTCCACTAAATATCCAATTTCTAATAAAAGGTAGTACTATATTTATGTAGGTAAATTAAAACCATGCACAAACTATAAAATTACAGGCAAAAAAAAAAAATTCAAAATGCATGTGCCACTTTGTTTACTGACAACATGCTTTAATGCATATAAATTCGTCAAAATTTCTATAGAGCCATCGAATGGTTTTCTTATGGAACCATCTACCATTTAATGTATTGACATCTGTCCAAATTGTTTTTATTGCTTGACACGTATATAAATCTGGATGGTTCCTTAAGTCGAGCCAACCGATGGCTCCATAGCAAAACTGATAAATTCGTACTGATGATGTTATACAATTGTTAGAGAAGACAATTGGTGATAAATGAAAAAAAGATGAAATTCAATTCTAGAAAAAAAAACTTAATTGTTATTCTTATGTTATTGAATTTTAAATGTCTTTATTTATTCACATTGAGACTCAATAAGTTAATTTATGAATGACGCATAATCTAAATAGGAAAATGTTACGGTCCGGTTACGGAATTATTTCGTCGAAGTTTCTAACCGTTAGATCATCATGTAATCGTCGAAGAGAGTCGATCTAACGATTACAAATCCGACGGAATGGTTCGGTAATGGACCATACCATCTCCCCTAAATATATTTATACTTTATTAAAAAAATGAATTCTATTAACCATATCCATTGTTTGTTTTTGTGATTGACAAATATCTAACGAAAATGATTTATTGATGTTTTCATTGGCTTCTCCCTTGGACCGCGGGTGGGACCCGGTTGCTGGTCAATCAAGAATCCTCAACTGAAAAGAGAGATGTAGAGAGAGAAAGTAAAGTAGAACTCGGTCACTTATGGACGACAGTGAGTCAACTTCAATCTTCAAAATGAAGCTGTAATAAAATCAAACAAATCCACCTACACAACTTCCTCGCTAAAGGCCTCTCTTCAACCCGCAGCCCTTTGACTCACTGGGTTTTAATACTCTCAAACATTTTTTTTCAAGAACAAAAAAAAAAAAAAATGAACAGAGCTTTATTCACTGTTAAATCGCTGTAAAATCATAAATTCTCAAAATTTAAGAAAAAAGAAAAAAAATGTATCTTGATTTTAGATGCCGTCACCTTCATTTGCTTCTACATTGTTTCTCGATAGCCGGTTTCTTCGTCCTCAGCTCCGCCTCTGACAGAATCACGACCGGCCAGTCAATCCGGGACGGCGAGACTCTGATCTCCTCCGGCGGAAGATTCGCCTTCGGATTCTTCAGCCCGAACAACGACACGTCCACCCGTTACGCCGGAATATGGTACAACCAGATCGCAAACCGCTCCGTCGTCTGGGTAGCCAACCGTGAATCCCCTGTCCCCGCCAATGGCGTCGTACTATCAGTCACCACCGAGGGCAATCTCGTAATTTCACACAACAACAGCGGCCAAGTCCTCTGGTCCTCCGCCGCCACATCCACCACCCTCCCTCCGGCGAACTCCACCCTTATCCTCATGAACTCCGGCAACCTCGTCCTCCGCGCCGCCTCCGACAGGGTCCTCTGGCAGAGCTTCGACCACCCGACAGACACGTACCTTCCCGACATGGAAGTCCACATCAGCGCCCGTGATGGCGAACAACGTGTCTTCACGTCGTGGTCGGGCCCGCTCGACCCGTCTCCGGGAAACTACTCGATGGGGGTGGACACACGGGGTCCGCCTCAAATAGTCATCTGGGACGGGCCCCGCCGCCGGTGGAGGAGCGGCCATTGGAACGGGCTCGTCTTCATCGGCGTCCCCGGAATGCGGAATTTCTACCGGCTCGGTTTCCGGCTGAACGAGCGAGATGGACAGCTGTCCATCACGTACACGACGCCGTCGAGCGACTCGGAAATGGTTAAGTTTCGATTGAGTTGGGAAGGAGTCGAGCTGCAAGAGAGGTGGATCGAGGAGAGTCGAGAGTGGGAGGCATTTTACCGGCATCCGATCGACGAATGTGATTTGTATAATTATTGTGGGAATTTCGGGATGTGTCGGTTGGGGGAAGAGGACAGGTGTCGGTGTTTGGAGGGGTTTGAGTCGAGAGGGAATCGGACCGAGGGGTGTGTGAGGAGGGCTGGGCTCGAGTGCGAAACGGATGGGTTCTTGGAGGTGAGGCGAGTGAAGTTGCCTGATTTCGTGGATTATGTGGGGTCTGAGGATGTGAGGGGTTGCGAGAGTTTGTGCGCGCGGAATTGTTCGTGCACAGCGTACGCGTACGTGAGAGGGATAAGTTGCATGGTTTGGTATCGGGAATTGGTCGACATTCAACAGTATGAGGAAGGGGAGAATTCTTTGTTCGTTCGAGTCGCGCGTTCTGAGCTCGGTAAGGCTATTTTCATGTGTGCGTTTTTTGGCAAATTGTAATTCTTTACAATGAAAAAAATGTCAAATTCCAACTGTAATATATTCCAATAAAATTTCAACGGACGTTTCAATGGTATAATTTCGGTCGGAATGAGTTTTCTATTGGAATTTAAGTTGGAATGTGATGATTCCAATGACCATTTTTCCTATTACATGCATTGGTTCTTTTAACAAACTTGCCTGCATTCTTATACTCTCTTTGTGATCGATTCTTACAGATCAAGTAAATCATGCAAGGAGAATAATTATCATAACAACAGTCACAGTTGGTACGATCCTTATCTGCGTCTCGGTTTGGCTTATCGTCAAGTGCAGAAGAAAACGCCAGGGTAAAGATTTATTACATCATGTAACAGGGGAAGTAGTAACTATATATATAGTTTCTCATAGTAAAACTCAAAACCTCTAAATTTTACTGCAGAGACTCTAAGCAAAACCAAAAAGCCCAAAGTTCGTCGGAGTGGGGAATTTTCCTATGAGTCATCCGGGCCGTGTGACATATCTATCGAAAGTCAGCAATCAAACGGACCTGAACTTGCAATGTTCAGCTTCAGCTCTGTGGTAACAGCTACAGATAACTTTTCAGACAAGAACAAACTCGGACAGGGAGGTTTCGGTGATGTTTACAAGGTATTATAATTTTTTATTTTTTTCTGAAAAAAATGTTCATAAAGTGAATTTATCGATTGTTTTCATAAATTTATCATATGATATTTCGTCAGGGAATGTTACTCGGAGGACACGAGATAGCCGTGAAGAGATTATCGACGAAATCGGGTCAAGGATTAGAGGAGTTTAAGAATGAAATTATGCTAATCGCAAAATTGCAGCACCGTAATCTTGTTCGATTATTGGGCTGCTGCATTCATGGAGAAGAAAAGCTGTTGCTTTACGAGTATATGCCCAACAAAAGCCTCGATTCGTATCTTTTCGGTTAGTTTGCTTTTTAGATAAATTCTCTGATTCTTTTTATTTTTATTTTTTGCATAGGTTAATGTTGTTTATCATGTGATTTTATTTCACAGATGTTGATAAGAAAGGCGAGCTAGACTGGAAGAAGCGTTTTAATATAATCGGAGGGATTGCAAGAGGACTTCTCTATTTGCACCGAGACTCGAGGCTTAGAATAATACACAGAGACCTGAAAGCTAGCAACATTTTGTTGGACGAGGAAATGAACCCGAAGATTTCGGATTTCGGCATGGCTCGAATATTCGGAGGCAACCAAAACGAAGCCAATACAAACAGGGTAGTGGGCACATAGTAAGTAGTAGTGCGTTTTTTGCTTATAAATGCATCGATTATTCTAAAATAGCCGGAAAAACTATATATATATATATATCGCCTAATAAATTTTCAATGTGTTCGAACAGTGGTTACATGGCGCCCGAATATGCTATGGAAGGTCTATTTTCTTTGAAGTCGGATGTGTACAGTTTTGGTGTATTGCTGTTGGAGATCATAACGGGCCAAAGAAATATCGACTTTCGCTTAACAGATTACGTAAATATAATTGGATATGTAAGTATATATTCGTGTGATTAACTGCGATTAGGCCTGTAAACGAGTCGAGTCGAGCTCGAGCCCTTAATGAGTTGAGTTGAGTCGAGCTAAATAAACAAGCAGAAACCGAGTCGAGCTCAGCACGTTTATTACTATTAACGAGCCGATTTCAACCTTTAACAAGCTAAACTATAGAAAATTATAAAAAAAATAAATCTCTTTTCGAGCCTTGCAGAGTTCGACTCGTTAATCAAACGAGCCTTAAATGAGCTCGAGATCGGCTCATTTAATTTAACAACACTAATCATGACGAGTCAATTCATTTTCTAGTTTGTTCAATCTCGCGAAATCTTACAATCAAAAGAACCGTGTTATTTGATACGTTTTCACAACAGGCGTGGAATCTTTGGGATAAAGGAAGAGCAGTGGAGCTGCTTGATCTTTCCATCATGAAGATGGGAACTTCTTGCAATGAACAAGTGTTGAAGTGTGTACATGTCGCGATGCTTTGTGTACAAGACAATGCAGGTAATCGGCCAGACATGTCGGCTGTTGTACTGATGCTCGAGAGTGAAAACATGGCCCTGCCTTTGCCAACACAGCCGACTTTTACATCGACGAGACATAATATCGATACCGACATGTGGAATGGGATTAAGGATGCTGATCAGTCCTCAAATAATGTGACAATGAGTGTGATTATTGGTAGATAATTGATGTGCAAAATGTGTTGTTTTTACAACAGTACTAACTGTTTTTTTCTTTTTTCTTCTTTTTTTTTTTAGAGTCATGTGATCTTCCTTCTACATTTGTATCAATACTGGGTTTGAGTGTGCATATGTTGTAGCTATAACAATATTAAAGACAGACTATTTTTCACTATACTCGTGTTTTAGGCTGACTTAACAATTAAGCCTGTCATTTTATTTCACAAATGTATGTTTATGTCAAAAAATATCATACTTAAAAAAAAAAACAACATAAATAGAAGTATGACATTAGATAGTACGATTAGTAGATCCAACTAATGGTCAGATTGTCCCACACAATAAATTTTAGAGTTTATTGGATGAAAAAAATATTTTGGTTTTGATTGGATTTATTGGATAAAACGAATTATTTTAAATATAGTTGATTGAGTTGAAATTGAGTGGTATTGAGTTTGTATTTAAATACTCCCTCTTGTTCATTATAAATGTCGTTTTGACTTTTGTGATTCATCCATTTTGTTATGTATCTAGACATTAATATGTCTAGATACATAACAAAATGGATGAATCACAAAAATCAAAACGACATTTATAATGAACAAGAGGTAGTATTATTTAAAATGCAATGATTAAATTTAATTTATTGTGACTTGTGAGTGTATTTATTGTGTTTTTAAGTTAATTTTCGTGTGTTTTATGTATTTTAGTTTAGTATTTTTAGGTCCATTTTAGTGTCGACCGGTCCATTTTATCGTATTTTTTGTGTTTTTGTATTTCGGCGTATTTTCTTGTATTTTTTGTGTTGAACAGGTCCATCATTACAATGCTTGGGGAAACGAGCCATTTCCGATATACTTTCGAGCCGTCCGAACCATGTCCTAGTCACGCGAACCATTTTCGAGCCATTCCGAGAGTATTTATTAATTGCGTGGTGACACCCATTTTCACATTTCAAGACGAGGAGAAAAAAATTTGAGAAGCGTGGGTCAAATTTTCAAGTCAATCGGATAAGTGTGCGAGAAATTAGAGCGAACCGAGCTTCAAGGGTCACGGGGACCAAACCACGTGCCCAGCCGCGCGCCCGCGAGCTCGCGGAAAAATCCGCAACATCGAGAGTGCTCTCCACTCTAGCCCGCGAGCTCGTGGAAATTTCCGCGACGTCGAGAGTGCCCAGCCTGCGCACAGCTTCCAAAGCCGCGTCCCGCGCCCGTGCCCACGACCTCGCGAGTGCTGCACGCCCAGTGCCCGAACACGCCCGCGCCAACGACCCAGCCCGCAACCTCGCGAGTGTGCCTATGCCATGCCAATCCCGTGCCAACTCGCGACCTCGCGGATGCACTAGAGACTTGGAGACTTCGTTTAAGATCCATGATTTCGTAAGTCTTGCTTGTCTTTACTTATTAGATTTATTCTAGGGTTAGATAGACCGTCCATGAGTCGATTATGCTATCATCCTCGTAAGCTAGGGATTATGTGATACTGTTATTGATTGCGTGAGCGAGAATTGATTGAGAGATTAATTGATCACGAGTGACGATTGCTCGATTGCATGTTCCCGAACCTATGAGTGTCTTCTTTCCATCTCGAGTATCTAGGAGTACCTTGTTATTTTTTTTCTCTTTATTTTCTTTTTTCTTGCAATTTGAGGAATTGCTTGCGATATAATTTGAATCTTGCTCTCGTTTAGTTTAAATTGCGTTCTTAGCTTAATCCAAACCCCAAATTGCTAGTAGAGTTTGAGGATTTTTATTTTATTTTCTTGTGTGAGTCGATCGTTGCTTGAATCCGTGTCCGAATAGCATTCCTTTGAGAACGACCCGAGTCCGGGTAACTCGGTTACCACCTACCCAAAAATACTATAAACAAAGTGTGAGCGATGAGTAGTCAAAAATATCTATATCTATATCTATATAATGTACCAATCCGTTTTACTATATTTGTCACAAATTTTTTCACTCAAAAAATTCTGCTAATTTTGGCAATTTCTATAAGGCATAATTTTATTAAATAAAACTAAAATTGATTATTTCATTAAGAAATTTGAGAAGATTTGAACCAATTATAGATTGAATTAAAATTTGATCTCAAGCATTCGTAAGATCTTATTATTATTTTAATAATATACTCAAAGGTATAAATTTTTTAGTACAAGTTTTATTTTGATGGTTGCTGAATTAAAATTTTATCTTAAAGATTTGTGAATATCTTTATTAATTGTTTTAATAATATATCCAAAGATATATTTTAGTACATGTGCAGTTTTGATGGATGGGTATTTAAAAAAAATGACAGTAACATAACACACACACACACACTCACACACTCACATATATATACATTTTTTTTTTTTTGGTCGAAACGATAGGAATTTTATATAAAAGGCAAAAATGTGCAATGGAAACAGCCCTCAGCTGAAAACAAACAGCCAACGGCTGAATACAACCAGCCAACAACTACATAAAATGGGAGGACAGACCAAATGCCGCCTAGAGCCCGACCCCAACAGGGTAATACTCGAGAACACACAAAAAGACACAAGAACACTAAAAACGATCCCAACAGGGTAATGCCCGAGTGTACGGTCCCAACAGGATAATAAATTCACACTCGGACTAACTGAGGCCAAAGGCCCAGACCTAAAACACAATAACGAACACGAGACACATACACGCACAACACGAATACAAAACAAAAAACAAAAACACACAAAACTAAATAAATATAAAAAAATAAAATAAAATAAAAGCCCTTCCCCAGTGAACAGTTCGCCAGAGCCAGCAGTGAATGATCGACACAAGACCAATCCAGGCCAAGCACCGGCTACTGAAACTGCAATCAATCCTATACAGTAGTGGAACCCAAATCCCGAACCAGCCCCCGAATCGACCCATCGAAAACTGAGAGAGCCGTAGTCCATCCCACTCCGAATCCCTCCGCCCTCTTCTAACACCACTAAACGAGGCCGAAAGAACCTCCCACGCCTCCTAACACCACTAGTCGACGGGGAATAGAGCAAGAAGAAAAGCCCTCCCCCGACCGCTGCGACAAAGAGCGACGCAGCAACCAGGGCCCCGCCCCACCCGACGTCTCGCACCCACTCATCACCACCACAAACAGCCCACTTCAATCAGCCCGGCCCCACTAGAAGAGGTGAAGCACCGCCGGAAACCTCCAGGCCCGGCACTCACAGACGAAGGGAAGAAAAGACGAGGCATACCTTCACAAATCGCGGCTTCTCCGATGACTGGAAAGAAGATTCCGGTCTCCAGCCTTGCTGCGATCTCAAAGTACGCCACCGCCGTCCGGCACGCCATCTGCAACCGCGAGTCTGACGTCTCGTCAATGGACCATCTGAAGGTGGAATAAGGGCGCTCCACGCCAGGGGGGGCGCGGACAGTTGAGGATGACCCCTAGCCGGGCTTAATCGTCGCCGAGGAAGGCGAATTCACCGGGAAATCGAGAGCCGAGGAAAGCTAGGTTTTTTGTCGCGATAGAATTGGGGGCGGCTTCACCGAGTTATACATATATATACATATATATACACATATATTTTAAAAGTCACTAGCACGTATCCCGTGCGATGCACGGGACAAAGATATTAAATGAGTTATTTCACAGTCTTTTCAGTTTAAGTCTAAAAAGTAATAGGGTTATTATCTATTTTCTACCTCTTTTAATCAACATTAAGCCAAAAAACAATAGAGTCATAAGCTTTTTTTCCACATCTTTTAGCCAACGCTGTTTTTTTAGCTAGAACATTAAATATGAGCATGTTAGGGCTAGCTTGTAAAATAATTAATATATTATCTCACTAAAACATTTATACTAATAAAAATTTAATTTTAGCATATAAATTTATCCCTTGATATAAGAGAAAGTAACAATTTTACTTATTTGGTTCACAATATAATATTTAATTACTATTTTTTATATTATATAATAAAAAAATACTGTTAAATAGTGCAGTAAAATTTTTATAAAATTATATGATTTCTTTTACAATATATATTTAATATCTTTTTATGATTTGATAATATAACTATAATATATTTTTAATGATATAATGATTTACTTAGTATAGCTAGAATGTTGACAAATAAAAAAACTATTAGATGCAGCCAATATTCTGCTATAAGATAATGTTTTCTCGTTATGATGAGGTTTTTATCCATCATATTTTTCTATACATCTATTAGATTAAAAATTTAGATGCAGCCATCATTCTGCTATAATTAAGATAAAGGTTTCCTCAGAGCGAGATGCATGTCACATGTCATCTAAACTTTTTTTTTAGTTTGTTACTTTTAATTATCACAAATTTGTCTGCGTGAATTGATTTACAACATATTGTACGTTCAATTTTACAAAATACTCTACATTCAATTAAGACTGATTTTTATTTGCTAATGATTTATAAAGATTGATTATTATTTTGACCAAACAGGAAAGATGAACTTGTTGGATCAATGTTGTTAATCTAAACAAACATAAAAGTTTTTCATATTATTTTTTAGTCTTTATGAGTTTGTAACGTTTTATCAGTGTATGAAACATTTTCATGATTTTTTTATTTATTCCACGATTTGTTAATTCATTACAGTTTTGAACAATCTATGAAAATTATTAAGCCGCCTTCTGGCAAATATGTATGTGGTTATGTGTTCGTGTATCATAAGTCGCAAACATAATGAATAACATTATAAATTATTCATTCAAACTTTTACTCATTACAAATATATTAAAATAGTTTATATAACAACCATTAAATACCACTTTTAATATATTTATAAATAAAAAAAGTACATAAATTTTTTAGTGTGTTCAAATTTAAATAGTTTTTGGTGGGCTCAATTTTAAATCATCCAGACATTTGGTCAAACACATAGGTGTGTTTAAATTTAAATCATTGGCATTTTGTTCGATTGAAATTTAAATCATGTTCAATCATCTATCATGGTACTAAAATATTACTAAAAGTGAATTAAGTTAATCCTTATTATATA